TTTTATATTATAAATTATCTTGAAAAATAGTGTCTGGTAGGTATGTTAGTGTGATAGGCTTAATATATAAAACAATAAAATATACGCAAAATATTAAAAATAATTTGCTAAGAGCTACAGATATACTTTATAAAATTAATGTTGAAGGTAACTTTTGATCAAGCCAAATGACTTACCTTCTCTGGTTTATAGTTTATAGTTGAGACTGAGAGGCGAAGGAGATAATTCAAATGCAAAATTTCATCTATAATGTCTGATTCATTTGAGTTTCAGTAAAAAAAATAGGAAAATTATTTTCTTTAAGTCATTGGAATGTCAACAAATCATTTTTAGATGCTTCGAATTTTTTTTTAAAGATTTATTTATGCATACAGAACTGGGGTACAGGCTAGAGGCAGAGGCTCTGGGCAGTGAGAGGCTTCACCAGAGATAGAGTGGGGAGCAGAACAGGCAGATCGACGAAGTACACTGCTGAGGGGAGCAGCGGGCGGGTCAGGAGAGGTCTGCCACGCCATGTGGTCACCTCCGGGGCAGGCGGGAATCGAACTCATGGGCAAGTGGCTTTAGCTTCTCAGTGCAGTGCTTTAACCCGCTGCGCCACCAGGGAGGGCCAGATGCTTCAAATTTTAAAGACACTTAATTCCCTACTCCTGGGATCATTGATGGTTGTTCTACTTTGTTAGTGTACAATGCATGAATAAGGCTTTTGAGCCTTTAGGTTGTTTTTCAACCCATCTACTTATTCACCAAATAGATGTATTTACTATTAATAGATGTGTTCTGTGTGCATGGTGCTCTTTACATATTTAATTTAAGGCTTATAATATCCCTATGAAGTAAATGTTGTTTTTTATATTTATCCATGAAATGTCTAGTTACAGGTGCTTGGTGTTAGCAAAATAAAATTATGACCATTCAACCCAGTGGTTAATAATTTTGTCTAATTAAAACCAACTTTTTAAAATAGGTGGAGTTGATGATGGTAGAGCAGATACATAATACAGGGGAAATGTTGACCTCACACTAAAGCAATCAGGTATTCCAGCAACAAATGGAGTTTATTTTAAAACAAACAACAGGAGAAAGGGCAGCTTGGAAGGTGGGTTCTGACGACACAAATGAGTTCCACTAGAGGGAAAAACAGCATCACCTCCTGTTGGGTCCTGTGACTTAATGATGTGCAACTATGTGGGCAATCTTTTCAGCCTCCCAACTTCATTTAAGTAGTTTCATTCTGCACGTTAATATTCATAGGAACAACTAGCTTGGTCTTCAATAAGGAGGGGTTTCCTATAAAATAAGTGACAAATCATTCTATACAAATGACTTTGTGTCAGATGTTCAAGAGGGAAGAATGCATTATAAGTGAAGTAGAGTCTGAGATGCAGAAGCAGTTTGGAAATGGTTATAAAGAGTTTTGCAATTCATATTAAGAAGTTTGACTTTATGTTAAGAGAAATGAAAGTCATTGTTGGTTTTAAGCAGCCAAGTACAAGAATCAGATTTTAGTTCACAAGGATAACAAGTCTGGTAAGAACACAGAATTAATAAAAATAAAATATATAAAATGAGATGGAAAGTCTGATTCAGGGGGTTGTTATCCTACTCCAGTTCAAGCTGTGGTAATGAGTTTGAAGTACAGTGGATATATTAGATTGATATTTAGAAGGTATAATGAACAAAACTTGAGAGCTACTAAGTGTATGTGTAAGAGTAATGAAATAGATAAGAATTTAGCATCTATTAATATTTAACCTCTAAGAAAAGAAAGAATTACAGCAGAAAGATGAGTTCAGTTGGGGATAAGAAGGACCCAGAGACATAGTGCTTTAAAAAGAAGCAAAGAAAGAACATTTCAGGGAGTTGCCAAGGGTCAAATAAGAATTAGGCTGTCCACATTCATTTTACAAAAAATAATTAAATCTTTTATCCTTAGAATATCCTAAGAATTAGATAGGTTTAATAACACAATTTATAAATTCGAAAGTCATGTTAGAACCAAGGATCTGTGATTCTAAATCTTATGCTTTCATATTTTGTCTTTTTTTTTTTTTTTAAGATTTGTCTATTTGTGTATACAGAACTGGGATACAGGCCAGAGGCACAGGGGAGGTGAGAGGCTTCACTAGAGACAGAGTGGGGAGCAGAACAGGCAGATCGACGAAGTACACTGCTGAGGGAAGCAGCGGGCGGGTCAGGAGAGGTCTGCCGCGCCATGTGGTCACCTCTGGGGCAGGCGGGAATCGAACTCATGTGGAAGTGGCTTTAGCTTCTCAGTGCAGTGCTTTAACCTGCTGTGCCACCAGGGAGGGCCCATATTTTGTCTTTTAATGGACTTTATTTTCTTGAGTCATTTTTCTTTTACCGAGAAAGTGAGCAAAACATATAGAGAATAATCTTACCTCTTCTCCAGTTCCCCCATTAATGCTTGCATTTGAAACAATTTGATGAAAAAATATCGATACACAGTTGTTCATATTAGGGTTCACTCTTTACATTGTGCATTCTATAGGTTTTTATAAAAGTAGAATATGTGTCCACAATTATAGTATCACACACAATTAGTATGATATTTCTGATAAGTATAGAATCACTGCTCTGACAATCCCTTTCTTCTCCCTATTCCATCAAGACTTAAAAACAACTGATATTTTTGATCTTCTCAGTTTTACCTTTTTCCAGATTCATATAATTGGAATCCTACAGTAAAATATTTTGAAACTGGCTCTTCTCATTTAGTATTATGCATTTGAATTTTCTTTGTCCTTCCATTGTGTCAAGAGTTCATTTTTTTATTATTGCTGAATGATAGTCTATTGTCTTTCTATACCACTTAATGTTTTTTTAATCTCATCACCTATAAAGGGTATCAGGGTTACATTCATACAGGTTTTTGCAATTATGATTCAAGTTTTTATATATTCAAATTCAGGTTTTTGAGTGGGTTTACTTGGGTAAGAGCCAAATAGTACCACTGCTGGGCTACATGGTAAGGATATGTTAATTTTGCAGGAAACTTCAGGCTGTCCTCTAAAGTCACCTTACTATTTTGCATTGCCACCAGCAGTGAATGGAAGTTGCACTTCCTTCTCACCAATATTTTCTTTTGTCACTGTTTTGGACTTTAGTCACCTTAGTAAAATGTGTAGCGATATCACATTTTTGTTGATATATCATGAAGATATATCATGTTATTGATCTTTCTCATGCTCATTTGTCATCTATCTTTTTTTGGTAGTGTTCATTTAGATATTCTACCCATTTTTAAATGGGTTATTATTTATATATTTTTCTTTATATCTACTTTTATTCTGAGTAGTGCTCTACTTAAAATGAATCTTTTCGAGATGGCTTCTAGTTGAGTCTTACTCTTTGAACATGTTTAGCCCACTGATATTTAATATAATTTTTAATATGGCTGGATATAAGTCTAATTTTCTCATTTTACCAGCTGACTTTTGTTCCTGCTTGTATTTTTCTACTGTTTTTAAATTATTATTTTTTTTATAATTTGAGTTACTACCTACTCGCTTCTTGGAAGTACCTTTTGAATGTTTTTAGTGATAGCTCTTGGAACTACAATACACAACCTTAACTTTTCAGTCTATTTCTGTCAGTATTGTGAAAATTAGACAGTATTTATATTCTCTTCTACTGTCCTTTGTATTAAAGTTATCAGATGTCTAATATTCTAATATATTTGAAACCCCACAAGGAAATAAATTTCCTTCTGAAAAAAAAAATATGTGTGTATAAAGTATAATACAGCTATTTAAAGAGAAATTTATTTTCTTTTGCTCGAAGTGTCTTATACCTTTCCTATATGCTACATACTGTCTTAAATTTCATTATTTGACAAAAAAACCTTATTTGAATATTTTCAATGTCTGGAAAACAGACATAGTCCCTTCAGGAATCTGGTCTACTGTTGATCAGTTTTGAAAGTTACCAACGTGGATCACAGCTTCTTTCTGCCCTTCTAAAATGCAAACAATTCCACATATCTCCCTGTATTTTTAATACACATTTTCTTTCCCCAGTAGCATTGTCAAATAGACTGTCGTGTGATAGAAGTTTCTTCACTAAGAGAACTTTGAGAAGTTCCCAATTGGCTTTAAATACTTGAAATGTGACAGTGTGACAGAGGAATTGAATTCTTCATTTAGTTCATTTAAATTTAAGCAGCTACCTGTTGCTAGTGGCTACTCTGGACAGTGCCTAAAATATGTTATTATTTCCTTTTCAAAATGTATTAACTAAATATATAACATTACTTGAATTTGCTTTGATTTATACAGTTAATTAAATAGTAATTTTAAGTGGTGATACTGTTTAAGATTTAAAGTCAAGCATGATTTTAACTATTAGTCTTAGATTTAGAAAATTTTTTCTTCTTTGATTTCATATCTGATAGTTATTGATCTTTTCTTAAACACACAGACACAAATCCAAATCTTTCTATCTTTATATATATATTATCCCTATGTCTTTACATATGTATATCTTTCCGACATCTAACATATCATATCTTTATATGTATGTGTGTATGTATATGTGAGTGTGTGTGTGTGTGTATGCAATCAAAATATATACTTTGCTTGCATCATTAATATAGTCATTTTCTATGTATGGTAAAATTCTCATAATAAGTCTGCATTTTTCCCAGGAAAAATTACAACTTTTTAGTTTGTTACATATTTGGAGACTTTTGACAATTTAGTATTTTCTGGGAAAATTATTTTTAAGCTTATCAAGAGACTCCCTCCTTAGTCTTTGCTAATTTTCTAAGTGCTTAAATCAACACGGATTGAATTATTTATTGTTACTCTCTTTGATAAGTATCTTTAAATATAAATTCCCACATTGAATTATTTTATAACTTTAATTTTAAACTGTAAATGTTATCATTTAGCACTGTGATTATTTGATGATGTTTGCTTTATATAATATAATACACATTTTCAATTTATTTAATGATATCTTGATTTTTATTATTTTAGGACCACCAAACAATTTTGAGAGCATGGGCTGTAAAAGACTTTGCACCAAACTGTCCTTTGTATGTTCAGATATTAAAGCCTGAAAACAAATTTCATATCAAATTTGCTGGTAAGTTAAGTTTGAAATGAGGTACTTTTGAATTTCTCTCAAATTCCCATTGTGATTGTAAGACTGAAGAGTCTGAAGCTGGTGGAAACTTTAAATGTTCGTAACTCTATAGAAGGACCCCCTTTTTATTATTTAATTGTTGTAAGAATTTATTCACTTAAAAATATTATGTGATAAGGTTTTGGGGGTGAATCCACTTTTTTAAGTGATAGTTCCTATGTAAAATATAAACACAGGTCTCCCATGATTAATCTGTATTAATTTATACTTATATCTCACAGTGATAAATAATATTTTGCTATAGATTATTTAAAATATATAAACATACCCTTTAGAGTACTATTAAGATGTATTCAAGTGATTTAAGTAGATTACTATTTGAGATTAGGTTTTGAAAACAATTCAAGAAAAAAAACGTAAAATTTTCATGACACTGCTTGTAAAGTAACTATTAACATGGGGTTATACTTTAAAATGTTCGGAAATTGAACAGAAAAACAGTACTTTGCTTTTTTCTTATATGCTTCTGTAGGAGCTAATTTTGATCCAGGCAGTAATTTTTACTTTTTTCAAATGTAACAACTTGTTTTTCTATTCTATTTTACCATATTAAAGATTTAAGTCATTAAAATTAAATGGCTTAACAATGTACTAGCATGATTAATTTCCCAAAGAAATTGTGTTCACACATCTTAAAATTATTATCTGTTAGTTTATGGTATTTAAATGAAACATTTAAAGAGTAAAAAAATTTTAAATAATAAGGAAATCATGAAATTGTTGCTATTCAGTTTGCTCTTTGATCATCTAGTTTTGCTACCATTGGGAACATTCTTTCTAATAATGTATATCAAACTACTTAAAGCAAGGACTCTTAATTCTGGTTGTAGTTTAGTGGTTTGGGGAAAAGATAACACTACTGCAGCTTTTTAGACAAATTTTAAAACTTTAATAGAAAAATACATCTAAAGTACTCCTTTTGTGCTCTCCAACATACATAGTTAGCATTCAAGATCTGCAAATTGTTTATCTAAAAGACCTTTGTAGCAAAACTGCCTTTTTATTATCATTATTTACCAGGAGTATTTTTGCAGATTTTTTCTTTGTACCTTATAATGACTTGCTACATTTAACTTTTTAGGAAGGCACTAATTGCATAAGCACCTGAAACTTTCAATTTAAATTTGGAACTCACCATTTATTATTTAAAAGGAGAGGTCTGTTCTCTAAGTTCTAGTTTCCTGTCTTGTTTAATAGCCATAACACATATTTTGTCTCTGTATCATCCCTTAAGAATTGCAGTAAGGATTAAATAAATAATGTCTGCAACATACTAGGTATTCAATAATGGGTTTTGAATAGAAATCTAAAGACACTGCTGTTTGGGAAGGCAATTTTTATTTTGAATGTGTCACACAATATAATTTAAAATATAATACATTTCTTTCTCTCTTCTTTAGCAAGCTGTTAATTTGTTTACAACACCTATATCTAACTCATTGAAATAGTCCAGTTTCTCACACAAATGAGTTAAAGAAAATATTTTTCTTGATTCTTATTTTGTCATTATTTTGATACACCCATTGAAATTGAACTAAGTATGTAAAAATTCTACCCTAATAGTCTGTCTCAGTGTTGTCATTTTTGGGCATCTGCTGAAATTCCTTATAATAATGTTCTTTTATGGCTGAGATTACAGCATCTCCGAGGAGGTTTTTTTTATATATTATAAAGAAGTAAAAGCGCCTTAGTTTCATTAAAATGCTATATAATACACTTTGGGGTGATGTATGAAACTCTCAAGCCAATAAAACTTTTTAATATTTTAGCATGAGTTTGAAAAGATGATAGGTTTTACTTTTCAATAAGCATGGTATCAAGTTGTCATTTAATTTATATGGTAACTTGTTACAATAAATGATCTCCAGGGATCCAGTCTCTGTCTGTGTCCCTATATTATGCGTCTTTGCAGCTTATTCCACGAGGAGGTGAAATCTAAATCTTTACCCACTGAATAGGGGCTGGTCTTTTGACTTGCTTTAACCAGTAGAATATGCCAAAAATTATGGTGTATGACTTCAGAAGCCCTGAAAGGCCATGTGGCTTCTTCCCCTTGATTACAACACTTCCCAAAGACTATGTCTGAATAATCTTGATTTAGCCTTCCCAAGAAAGAAAAAGTACATAGAAAATGAGGCATATTTATTCCAGGCACCTCACATATTTAGTTCTTACTTTCCCAATCCTAATCCTAGTAATCACATTAACCCACAGAATTTTGAAAACTATAATTCGTCATTTTAGTTAATTCACTAGGTTTTATTAGGAAGAAGTAGGTAACTATTTTGTAATAACAGTTATTACAATTTAAGAATGAAAATTTAGTTAAAAATATATTACTTAAACATACCTTTACTAATAGTACTTTAATTTGCTTATGTAGTTATAAAAAAAGAAAGGTTTGCAATAAAAATAATAATTGCTTTAGCTTTAAACCTTATCACCTCATCTGTTCTTTATATTCTCAAAAGTACACTTGACCCTTGTACAGAATGAAAGGCAGGAATCTATATATATGTGAATTTTCTTATAGAATGAAGATAAATAAACTTATGGTATAAACAGTGCAGTGTAGTGTTGTAAATACAGTGTAGTGCTGTACATGTATCTTTATGATTTTTTTTTAATTCTGCAACTGACTTATTAAAAGAATGTAGTATGTAATAACACTTACACTGAAAAATATGTGTTAATCAAACATTAACACTATCAGTTAAAGTCTAGTCAGGGCTCTCACTGGTGGCACAACGAGTTAATGCACAGCACTATGAAGTTCTCCAAAGCCACTGCAAAACAAGTTCGATCCCTGGGCCAGGAGCTGACCCACATGGTGTGGCAGACCTCTCCTGACCTCCCTGCTGCTCCCCTCAGCAGTATATTTCAGCTGATCTGACTGTTCTGTTCCCCAGTCTGTCTCTGGTGAGTTCTTTTACCCCCTCACATCTCTGGCCTGTACCCCAGTTCTGTAAGCATAAATAAATAAATCTTAAAAAAAAAAGTCTAGTCAACAGCATTCTATTAGTAGGTAAGCCTTTTGAGAGTCAAAATTATACCCAGATTTTGACTGAGTAGGGTTTTGATAGTTCTAATCCCTGTACTGTGTAAGGAGCTGTATTAAATAGCTTAATTATAGTTATCATAGTTACAAAATAAGATTTTTATTTACACTTGCTTAAATAATCTTGTCTACTCACCCTGAAATTTGGAGCTTCTACCACATCTTTAGTATGTATATTTTTTAAAATAAATCTATGATTTTAAAAGCTAAAATGAAAAACCTTAAAAATTAAATTGTAAATTTAAATACTAGAAAGCAAAAAGTAACCTAGCAGCTGTTACTTTGTGTTGCTCTATCATTCATATTCTAAATAAATCATCTTCTCCCAAATAAAAGGACTATAGGCATGCTTTAAAGTAAATCTGAATTGTTACTCTATTATTTGAATGAATATATGAATCATTATACTTTCCCAAGTAATTATATATATAGTATATAATTGTAATTATATACTATATTTTGATCAGAAATCATGCATATAGACATGATTTATACAAGCTTACTCATTTTTTTCTTATATCACCAAGAGAGGGTGGTAAAAAATAGTAAGGCTGGGCCCTCCCTGGTGGCGCAGCGGGTTAAAGCACTGCACTGAAGCTAGAGCCACTTTCACATGAGTTCGATTGCCGCCTGCCCCAGAGGTGACCACATGGTGTGGCAGACCTCTCCTGACCCACCCGCTGCTCCCCTCAGCAGTGTACTTTGTCGATCTGCCTGTTCTGCTCCCCACTCTGTCTCTGGTGAAGCCTCTCACCGCCCCTGAGCCTCTGGCCTGTACCCTGGCTCTGTATGTACAAATAAATAAATCTTTAAAAAAAAATAGTAAGGCTACAGATTGAAAATTCTCAGTAGAATAATAGTTATGATATAGTTATCTAAATATAAATAAAAGTATACCACAAGCTATGAGACTCATGTAACATAAAATTAAACTTCAAAGTTAATTTGATTATATTTATTGCCATAAATTTCTAAGTAGAAAATAAACAAATTAGTTCATAGGAAAACATAGTGTACATTCAGCAATTTGTGCTTTTTATAATAAATTTATCAAATAGATTCATTTTGTAGATTCTGCAGTGAGACTTTCCTCAGTCTTCATCATATTATATATTAACTGAGTAGTTTCTCAGTCTCCCTAAGTTGACTTCTTCAATATATAAAATGAGGATAATAAGAGAAACTATCCCATAGGGTTGCTGCAATTTAAAAAAAAAAAGAAAATCTCAGAAGAATATCAACCACTAGTAATTGTGTAATTATCAATAATATTAAGTGCTTATTTCTCATTTGCCTAACAAATCTGTGTTATATTTGTTTCCAGGAAAAGTAACTGAGGATTTTACATAATATTTGTAAACAGCTTATTATAGACATTCAAAGGCACTTAATTCTCAGTTTGCACATATTTTTCAGATAACAAAAAAAGAAAGATACCTCCCAACTCATCATATGAGTCTAATGTAGTCCCTAAACAAAATTCATTAATGGGTGGTATGAGAAATAATAAGTAGAGAAGGATGTAATGATTAACATGAAAAAAATTACTTTAAAAACTAGCAAAATGAGGCCCTCCCTGGTGGTGCAACGGGTTAAAGCACAGCACTGAGAATCTAAAGCTGCTTCTGCATGAGTTCGATTCCCGCCTGCCCTGGGGGTGACCACATGGCGTGGCAGACCTCTCCTGGCCCGCCCGCTGCTCCCCTCAGCAGTGTACTTCGTCGATCTGCCTGTTCTGCTCCCTACTCTGTCTCTGGTGAAGCCTCGCACCGCCCCTGAGCCTCTGGCCTATACCCCAGTTCTGTATGCACAAATAAATAAATCTTTAAAAAAAAAAAACTAACAAAATGCAATATATTTTAAAAATAATACATCAACACCA